CTCCTTATTATTTATATTATTATGGCGCACAGCTGATGAGGAGGCGATGGTTATGGATGGGGCCTCACTCCGATATACATACATGGCTGTTGCTGGTTCGGTACTGGTCACCTGCCATCATTCCTTGCATACATACATACATAGGCAGGCGGCTGGCAGAGGTTAAAGCCTGACTTCTGCTCCCAGTCGACCCAGTCGACCCGGGTTCAAATCCGCCTGCCGGCTCCTCGGGTGTTTGAGGAGTGATGTAATGGGAGGTGGCCCCCCACCCTATGGACGGTGTAGGACGTGATAATATCACCTTGCGAGCTGACCAGGAACTAAGTTGATGCGCCGTTGATCCGCTAGATTTGGTTGGATGCTGGTGGTGAGTTGCCGAACCCAACGAATACATTCTGAAGTCGGATGGGGTGACGGATTAGGGTGCCCCTCTAGCAGGGGAGAGCAGGGACTGCCCCGGGAAAGGGGGCCGCTGGCGAAGTTAACCACCCTGTAACAACATACATACATACGTAAACGCACATGCAAGCACATGCACCACCGGCGGTATATCCACACACCAACACACACACACTCTCTCTCTCTCTCTCAAAAACTAATCCATACACACACACACACATACATACACACACCACTCTGGGAACCTGGAGCCTTCATTCTATATGCGATTCACACTCATTTCATACCTTAATGAAGACCCTTCATACCTTCATGAAGGACCCTTCATTCCACACCAAATCGAGGGCCCCGGGTCAATTTAGAATGAGGACCACTTCGTTACATAATGAAGGTAGCTCAGAATGAACGTCCCTTACGCTTTGAATACCCCTTCTGTCCAAAATGAAGGTGGTCTCCATAAAACGAGCCCATGTCCATCACGTGATATGAAGGCCCCTTTCAGTCCAAAAAGAAGCTGTCTCCATAAAATGAAACATATACATCACGTGATATGAAGGCCCCTTTCAGTCCAAAATGAAGCCGTCTCCATAAAATGAAACATGTACATCACGTGATATGAAGGCCCCTTTCGGTCCAAAAAGAAGCCGTCTCCATAAAATGAAACATATACATCACGTGATATGAAGGCCCCTTTCAGTCCAAAATTAAGCCTTTTCATAATGTCCATCGCGCCATATGGACATGCCACCAATCCTAACTAGGAAGGCGTGTTCTTATCACATGATGAACAGCGTCTTGATACGGATTTGCTTATAAGCCAAGCCGTCTCAAGACCCTGTCCACCATGTGATACGAACGTGCCTTCAGCCCTAAGAAAAGGCACCTCCACAAAAGAAGACAATACAGCTGTCCATCACATTGCATGTGCATTCATCCCAAAATAAACGTGCATCCATTACCACCGTCGTTTCTTGCCCCCCTTCCCCTTCGCCTTTGTTTCCATGATCCGCTTCAGTCAAGACGACATCAGGTCCAGAACGGCTGCGCTTTGAGGTGGCCTTTGCTGTCATCATGGCTGTTGCAATCTCCACCACCCACATCTGTCGCCCACTGCTTCACCATGTCCAAGGTGGTTGACTGCAACAGCAGCGGGACATGTGTCAGTCAGTTAGTTATAGACATATAGGCTTAGTGGAGTAAAAATAGACAGGTTGCTATACTGAAGCACACAATTAACACGATGTCGCAAAACCATGCAATTCTTGGTGAGCACCCAACCAGCCTATTTGTAACCCTGACATGAAACCAACACAAACTTTGACAGGAACTCACTTTCTGATTTGCTGCTAGGTGATCTGGTCCAGCGCTCGACATCCATTGGTCATGGGGTCCGGCTGCTGCTTGAAACAGCTTCAAGACACTGCTCTGCCTCCTCGACACTCAAGAGCTAAAATACATCTGCATTGAAAACAAATAGAGGGGCAAAGAACAATAAAACATTACATTAGTTATCATGCAGCAGCATCGGACTGCAACCCTTGACAGCGGTAAATAGCTAGCATACATGTCAGAATAACAGATAGAAGCAGGTAACAAAGTTCTGTGATGACAAGTACAGAGTCATGATGTGGCCGCCGGCAATGTGGACCTGGTCAACACAGTCCCGTGACTCACCCAGCCCGAGCAGCTTGAAAATATTGGTCTGCTCCTGTGCCTCCCAGTCACATTGGAAGATTTCATTGTCACCATCGTCAGTAAGAGAGCCCAGCAGACTGGACCTAAGGGCGCCCTCACAGAGAAGAAGCCTCTTCTCAAACTTCAGCCTTGTGGCAAGCTCTTGTCCTCGCTCACTTAAATGAGGTCTAATGGCATAAACATCTGTAGTCAACGCTTTGTGTTGGCAGTGAGTCGCTGTTAGATGCTCAATGTCAAGCGCAGTAGTAATCGTTGTAAATCTGTACTTACAACAAAATGGAAGAACTATGGCATCTAAGATTAAGGAAGTGTATGCAGGATTTCTTGAGTGTCACCGGTCCACTGCATGCCGTACCTGGATTGTAGCATGCAGTCCGTCAAGGTTCCAGCTATGAAAGAGTCCAGAATGAAACTAAAGCTAATCTAAATTTTCATGGATTGATTATGGCATCGAGTAAGACAAATGCTCCAAGGCTGTCACCTGTGAACCTGCCAGCAGCACTTAGTATGTGCCTTGAAAGGAATTCCAAGTGAAACCTCTCTCTGACACCTCTCTATCGACTTCCATGCCCAGCAGCATGCCAGCATACATGGGAAGTTGCAGTCTGAAGCCGGCACGGGAAACCCAAAACGCTATCACCTGTGCATCACATGATAAAAAACAATGCTGACGCACCAGTCCGGACACTCACACAGACGACACCACTGCATGACCTGCCAAGGGCTGCAAACATCTCATTGACACTGACAACCCTCCTAGCCCAGGCCTGTTCTTGTTTCCCATTGGCTCCCATCATTGCAGTGTGCCCAAACAAAACTCCTTCCCTTCCGCCGCCATTGCCGCCATCACCATCCCCGCCATCGCCACCACCTGCCATCGTCACCCCTGCCACCATCATCGTCACCACCGTCGCCATTGCCACGCTGTCCCCATCCCCTCCATCGCCAACCGTCACCGTTCCCCCCATCGCCATCCCTGCCATCACCATTGCCGCCGTCGCCATCACCATGGCGGGGATGGCGACGGTGGCAATTGTGATGGCAGGGATGGCGACGGCGGCAATGGCAGCAGTGGGGATGGTGACGTCAGGGATGGTGATGGTTGCAATGGTGCCGGTGGGGATGGCAACGGTGGCAGTGGCGATGGCAGGGATGGCGACGGTGGCAGTGGTGATGGCAGGGATGGCGATGGGGGGAATGGTGATGGCAGGGATGGCGACGGTGGCAATAATGATGGCAGGGATGGCGATGGCGGCAGTGGCGATAGCAGAAATGGCGCCGGAGGCAGTGGCGATGGCGGCAGGCGGCAATGGTGACCATCC